ACTCTGTAGGCTACAACACAGCATAACATATGAACTTCAAAAAAGAAATGAAAATATTTTTTACTCTTAATTTTAGTTTTATTTACTCTTGAAACTAAACACTTTCGGGAACTCTGCTGAAGTACATCTAGTTTAGTAAACCGTTCTAACTACAAGTGTATATAAAGTCATAAAATAAAAACTGACAATACAATGGCTCACTCGCTGTTAACAATATTTTTTATTCGTAATCCCAATAATATCCAGCCATCTTATGTGATTTAGATTAGTTATAAATTTGAATACTAAGCTAACAATTCTAAGAATGTATTGTTTCACCTGTTGGGTGCTCTCGCTGTTAACAATGCTTTCGAGTCCTAATCCAGTAATATCTCACGAGGTCCGGCAAGCTTAAAAAAATTTAGATTTGTCCCTAAATCCAAATACTAAGCTAACATTGCAAAATAATCATAATTGTAAATAACATATAAATTACTAGCTGGAGTACCCGTCTCCTTGACGGAAGTTATGTAACTTCGTGATCAATGAAAGATTATCTCAGAACACAAAAAGTTGCTTCCCTTAAATGTAATTGTAAAAAAAAACGACCATAAAAATGCAAAACACAAAATGTAGACTGCAAATTTGCATGTATCTCCTCATTGACTCAATGAACCTCTATACCAAATTTGATGAAGGTCCGCTTACAGGGGGCGAAGTAGTGGTAAAAAAAACGCCCATAAAAACGGCAAAACGCAAATCTGCAAGTTTGCATGTATCTCCCCATTGATTCAAGGAACCTCCATACCAAATTTGATGAAGATCCGCTTACAGGGGGCGAAGTTGTGGTAAAAAATAAAGGCCCATAAAAATCGCAAAACACAAATCTGAAAATTTGCATGTATCTCCCCATTGACTCAACTGAACTTCCATACCAAATTTGATGAAGATCCGCTTATAGGGGGCGAAGTTGTGGAAAAAAACAAACAAAAAAACGCCCATAAAAACCGCAAAACGCAAATCTGAAAATTTGTATGTATTTCCCTGTGGATCCAATGAACCTCCATACCGATTTTGGTGAAGATCCATCCACACCCTGCGAAGTAGTTACATGGACATACAACAGACAATACTATTATATTTATATATATATAGAGAGAGAGATGCAAATAAAATAAATATATGATATATGTCACACGTTTTAATCAACAATATTAGTGAAACTAACCTTTAAGAAAGTACAGAATATAGCTTACGTATAAAACACGCCAAATCTACAGTTATTTATTCATGCTCTATCACAAATTCTCGGTCCCTTGAAAAAAAAAAAAAAAACAGCAGCAGGGGCGGATTGGGCAGTTGGAACACCGTTGGGCTGGTGACACCTGGGCCACTGGGGTGATAACCTGGTTATACTGTCCCAGTGCTACTGACTAACTTATTGTACATCTCTCTTTCTATATGTATCTTCCTCATTTTTGAGTATTTGCCCGGGGCCGTTTTAGGCTCCCAATCCGACCCTGAACAAGCAATTATATTAATTTTAACATCTAAGGAGAAAAGAGCATAGAATATGCATATAAGTATGGTCATACAAAGATAATATAGGTAAGGTATCACTCTTCCATCTTAGAAAATATACTTTTTTTTTTTTTACATGTGACTGTTATAGTTGCGAGGATGATATACGCAGTGTACCATTATTCCATCTTGATAAATAAGCAGTTCCATATGATATTTTTTATATTCGTGGAAATAATGCATTTGATGTCTTGTTCTTCCATTTTGAGAAAATATTTTTTCTCTGCACGTGAATTTTACTGTCAGAAAAAGTAGCATTCCAATAAGAGAAATATGAGCTAATCGGTTTTTTAGATTGATAAAACACGATATAATAGGCGGTGGAACAGGAGGGGGGGGGGGCAATGGGAGACTTTTCCACCAAGTTTTGATCCGGTAGCAAAGTGCCCCTTTGAATGAGGAATACAGCTTTATGTACAGCTATCATGACTGTCGCTGTTTCAGTTTTGAATTCAATGGTCATGATTAACATTGCAAGTCAGGTGCCTTCCCTCTCAAATTTAAATTTCTTCCGCCCCCATATGAATATAATAAACTTTACTTAAATTTGTTTGTTTGTATTTACGCACAGAGCTATACGATAGGTTATCCGATATGTGCCACCACAGATATCGGACCCATGGCTTTAACGTTTGAGCCCTCAAATTTACCGCTGAGCCACTGTTGGGCTTTAATTAAATAAAAAAATCTACGACATGTAAAATGGATTAGCTACGTTTACAGTTAAAAGCCCGATGATGATGAAGTAAGCCAGTATTTATAGTGTGTTATTCCTGGTTATGCTGTTACACGGACATTGTCCGATTATGTACATCATAAGGCGACACATAGGAATGTATATCATTTCCACACGCACTCAAGCTGTTGGCTGAAGCGACAACTAATTTAGGTTAATTTGCTGCACATGTACATGAATGACGTGCTTCTAACCCGGTTCATTTCATGATCTCACTTTCCATTTTTTGTACAGCAACGCTGCATACTGACCCTGTTTCTCTACAGAAGCAGGCTCTCAAATAAATAGCACCAGCCTCTTGTTTGCCGATAAAAAAAACGTCGTTTCGGTAAATTATGATTTTGTTTTCACGTACCTATAAGGAGTATTACATCCTACAGATATTTACTACTTGTAAATGTATTAGACGGATTGTTTGTTGTGAAGTACAAAGTTACATATGGACTATTTGTATTCTGCCCACCACATCTATCGAAACCTGATTTTTACCGTTATAAGCCTTTAGACTTACCGCTGAGCCACTGGGAGGCGTATTATTTGAAATCAACATGCAATTTTATGGTCCTTCGTGAACTTTCTCTGACATTATACTACAATTAAACCCTCTAATTCAGCGTTTCTCAAACTGAGGTTCTCGAGTCATGTCCGGAGTTTCATAAAACTATTTGTAAAATATGATTTATAGAATAAAAAAATATTTTTCGTAAAATTAAACTTATATAAATTAAAATATATAATTTTGGCATGGAATCTCTTTTTTCTTCTTCTTCCAAACAAAAACATCGATAGGTTTGAGAGTCCACTAAAGTTTGAGAACCGCT